GGCGCCGGCGCGGGCCGCCGAGCGCCGGCCGCCGCGCCGGCCGCCGCGGCCCGTGGGGTCACGCGCGTCGCTGTCGTCGCGCGCCTCGTGCGCGCCGCCGCCCGGCCCCAGCCCGGCGCCGATGCCGAGCGGGGCCAGGGGCGGGGGCACCATCCAGGGCAGGCGCACGTGCTCCTCGCGGCGCAGTTCCGACGGCGCGCGCCGGCCGCCGCCGCCGCCGTACCACAGCGCCAGGTCAGCGTACCGCCCCGCGCTGACCACGGCGTGCAACTCGCGCTCCACGGCCAGCACGGCGGCGGAGCGCGGGTCCAGCACAACCGACCGCTCCAGCAGCAGCGGCATGACCAGTGCGTTCAGCAGCGCCACTGCATGGGGCAGGGGTTGTGTGTTGTGTGTGTGGGAGGGGAGGTTGTGGTTTTGGGAAATGGGGGTCCCCCGGCTGACCACCAGGCACATTCTGGTTCTGAATTGTAGGTCCCATCTGGCGACCATGCGCGTACAACACTGCAGGACCCCATGTAAGACTATACACCCCCCCACCCCATCCTCCACCGACGTGAGCAGACGAAGAGGGTGAGACTCATGGCCCGCAGGTTGGCCTTGAGGCGGGGAAGCAGGCGCCGCTGGCCGCGCCGCCGCTCCCACCGGCAGGCCAGGATGTTGGGGGTCCACACAGGTGCGTCCCGTTCGTCCCCTGGACCCTCCCCCGCCGCCTCGGCCTGGGCATCCTCCGGCGGCAGGGCCGCGGCGACGTGGGGCTGGGCCAGGATCTTCAGCCGTGCGCAGAGGATCTGGGCATTGGGGGCGTGGGAGGGGGGTGGGGTCCACCAGCAAGCTCCACTGTCTGCGGGCGAATACTGGGGGCTGGGGTGTGCGAACTCCGACGCACTTGGCCCATTCTTCCTGCCTCCCCGCCGCGAACCTGGACACAGGGCAGCACAACCAGGAGCTCCAGCGCAAAGTGCGGCAGCTCAAACACCATGGAGGAGCACTCCGCGCCCCATTGCTGCTCCCAGTTGTTCAGCCAATAGGGGATGAGCCGCCAGCCGATGGAGACAAAGGACTCCTGCGTCACCACGTCCTCCCCTGCTTGGTTTGCGCATTGGTCCCCAAACGTGAGGAGAGATTGCCTTGAGGTGGCGCCCCGCTGCATGGAATCCCAATGCCCTGCACGGCCCCATCTCGGGGCATGGACCTCTGCCCTCATTGCATGGCCAGGCTGCAAACTATGTCACCAAACAGCTCCATGTGCATGTGTCAAGAATCCCTGGGTGTCACCCGCCGGCCGCCGTGCCTCACCTGGGTGCAGCCCATTAAGGCCGAGGACAATGACGAGCCGCTGGAGGCCCATTGCCCCCGCCAGCATGAAGTTCCAGAGGGCCACGGCCTTCCTCCAGCCACGTACGTTCCAGCGGTAGTCCGAGGTACAGTACCGCATGTCCTCGCCGCAGAAATAGAAGACATCGGCCCAAGAGTTAAGGTCGCCATCCAGCAGCAGGAAGGCGAAGCTGACCAGGCTGGCAGAGGCCCACAACACGTTTCGCAGCTCCCATGCGGTGAAACGCCGAGGTCCTGTGGCGAGGGACTAGGGAGGTGTGATGGGTGCATGGAGACCGGGGGGCCGGGGGTAGACTGCGCACCGGCGGGGTATGCGATCGTGCCGAGACCCTGTCCGCAAGGGATTCGGGGGAGGAAGCGCTGCCTCACGCTCCATCGCATGCATCCCAATTCCCCACGGAGCTAAGGAGGCTCATATAAGGCATTGAGCCGACATCGGAGAGGTCCGCTGTCATTCATCGCCCCCCTTCCATCCAGCCCTCGTCACCTCTGGAGACTAGGAAGCCGGCCCAGAGGCAGAGGCATGCCAGCGCCCAGGTCTCCGGGTGCCCACCGTGGCCCAGCAAAGCGTCGGCCGTGACGCCTCCGAGGCTGGCAACCACGGCCCAAGCGAGGAGGCGCTGCATGGAGCAAGTGCTCAGTCCATGGGAGCTAGAGTGAATCAGCAGGCACGCGCCCCGGCACGCCTTGCTCGCGGGGCGCTCTCATGTGCTGTTGAAGCATCAGGAACCATAGACAGCTCAGGGATGCATACTCTTTGTCCTGCGCCTGGGTATTGGGGGGGTTGTCGTTACAGAATAGAATCTCGACGATCACTTCGGGGGTGCTTGTCTAGCACGCGCAGCAGGAATCGGAAGTGGCTGATGGAGTGCATGAAATTTTCGATGTTGCTGTACTGCATCTGCAGCAAGCCGTCGACCATGTACCAGAAAGTACCATGTTTCGTCTCAGTACGCACATTGTGAACCAGTAAGGGAGCTGCATCCACATCGAAGAGGGAATAGTGGACGGCCATGTCGGGGGTGCCCCAGCCTCCCACCCGCCGTGGCCCGGCCATGGGCGCACTAGATGGTGAGAGGCCATTTGAGCTTAAAATCGTCACTACCATCCTATGACGCCATCCGAGAGGTTGCACTTTGTTGTGAACAACCCTATCGTCGGTGCGTTTAACTTGCTCAACACTGAAGACAAGAAATCCCCCCTCAAAAGGTGTGCGGAGGGACCTGAAGGCCGCCAAGGAAGCTGAGAAGAAGGGAGATCTCTCCGATCCCAACAGCGTTGGCGCTGCATGGACACACAAGTGAGCAGGGCGATGGTATGCCCGCAGGATGCATTAGCAAGTCTTGGGAGTGATCCATGACTGTCCGTCCCTCACCACCCCCTGCTTCCACCCCCACAGCTTTCTAAATCAGAAGCCATGGCATCCCATGAACTTTCGGAACCAGGCCCGTGTCTGGGAGGCCGAGCAAGCCAAGTATGAGGAGGAGAAGAAGAAGGCAGAGGCCAAGGTGCATTGGTGGACATTGCAAAGTGGTCTGAAGTACAGCCTGTAGGGCAAGCGTGGGCGCACTTTGCCGAGGCAGGCTTTTGCTGCGGGTAATTTGCGTACCTTGCACTGTCCCAGATTGCAAGGAGCAGGCCCGATCCATCCCCAGGCAGAGTTTGAGGCGGAGCAGGAGTATCTTCAGACGCTGTCCATGCTGAGCGCAGAGGAGCAGGAGAAGTACCGGCAGCGACAGGTGTGGTCGTGTGTGTTGTGCACGATGGGCTTGGGGCAGCTGCACAAGCAGGGACAGCCTGTTGAGGATGGTGGAGGGCCCTGGGGGAGACTCTGCCTCCTCTTGCACAGGCCATACCTGTGCGATAAGCACATCATTCTCGCCCAGACGTTCCTGCCCTCACGCTCCCTCTTCATCATGTACATGCAGTCTGTTTCATTCCTGTACATGAAGCCTCCTGGCTACGATGCGTCTCTGGAGAGGTTGGAGCAAGCCAACCGGGTGCGATGAGGCATTGGACATTGGAAAGCTGCGACACCCTGTCAGCAGGACAGAGCCGCATGAACAATTGCCATGTTTTCAGGTACTTGTTTTCGATCCCACAAGCTTCCTTGTGCTACTCGATCGCCACCAGTGCATCTCCTGCCACTCAATCCTGTCAGGATGGGACAGCAAAGCCGTCCACGCTTCCGGCCTCTGGAGGGGCAAGCAGCAGCCAGGCGGGGTTCACGCCCCCACCTGGTCCCCTGGGCAAGGGCGCCACGGCAGGCACGACGAGCCAGGCGGGGCCGGGGCCCAGCGGACAGACACCAGGCCAGGGCCCAGGAGGCGGAGGCCTGGGGGCCAACTACCTTGCGAAGATGCTGGAGGGGTATCGGGCCGCCAAGGGAGACAAGTGCGTGGGGTATGGTGATGTTCTGGGAGTGGCTTGATGGAGTGGAGCCGGGTCGGGAAGGGGCGCCATGCATGGTCATGCCCTGCATTCAAAATCACTGCTTGATGCCTCTCCTTTCATCAAGTTCCTTCAGCAACACCGTGTCAAGTTCTGTTGTCAGTGTTGTCATTGCAGGTTCGAGCTGAAGGGGGGCGGGGCTGAGATGGGGCGGAGCCCTCCCCGCGGCGGGGTGGATGCAGGGGCCGCCAACCAACAGTTTGTCATCGCTGAAGTGGACAGCGAGGAAGGTGGGGGGCGCATGCTGGTTGGTGGGAGAATTCGGCAAGAGCTTGGCGTTCGCTGCCGGGGAACAGCAGAAACACTCACTTTGGAGTGCACACTCCACCACTATCCGCTGCCTCGGCGGTCGGTCTGAATGGGCCAAACTCTCCCCTCTTCTTGCTTTTCCAGAGGAGCGTGCGCTGCGAGAGGCTGGCATGACGGATGCTGAGCGCAGGGCGGCAGCCAAGCAGGTGGCCAGGGAGGCTCGTGCCGCCCAAAAGGCCGCAGACAGGAGTGAGCTGGAGCGGGCAAAGGACGTGCTGCGGGCGGCGGGCATAGAGGTCCCAGACTCAGACGGCAGCTCGAGCGATGAAGAGCGAAGGGAGAGGAGCAAGAGTCACAAGAAGAAAAGCAAGAAGAAGAAGAGGCGGAAGTAATGCACGGCGCATGAGAGTGTGGAGTACATGTCGCCGGCATAGCGATGGCCCCAGACCACAGGGACAGGCGTCTGTTGGTGGCACTCTTGAAACGTATCATTACTTCCGGGCGGTGTATGAGTCCAGCTCCACCAGCAGCCTGCTGCATCAGCAGGGAACGCCTGCGCTGGGCCCACAGGACAGGCCTTCCACCTGGCCGTCTGCCGTGCATCATCAGCGCAAACTCTGTCTGAGCAGGGTGCCCTGCCCATGAGCAGCTGCCTGCGACCAGCTCACGCCGATCGTTTGAGCCGGAAGTTCCTCGCTGCATCCTTCGCCTGCCCCTTGTCTATTTGAGGCTCACTGGAGTAGGTGGCGTCCCGCATGGCAGCTACCGCCTGCTCCCGCTGGTACACCTTTTTGTTCATCAGGGGAAGGCCTGCAAGGGCTTCAGGATGAGGCTGATAAAAACAAGCATTTTAGGACCAGGGTCAGGCATCGGCGTCCTCGGACCGAATTTCAGGATGTTCCCTGGTTATGTGGGGCTGAGACGTACCCCCTCGAAGAGTCACCTCTCACCTGCGATGATGAGACCGGCACTCAAGCCAAGCAACACCTTTAGTTGGTTCGCAGGTGGTGTTTTCGTCATAGCGCTCATCAGTGAGGCTACTGCACGGATCAGCAATACGTCTGGGATGAAAGGAATCCCCTCACTGCAGGTGGGTGTTGGGTGATTGCTGCCACGCTCTTAGGTCTCAAGATTATCGATGCCTCGATACTCCAGCCCGATAATATTGCGATAATTATTATACTTTGAGCACCACCTGCGTTGGCATCCCAGCTACCTCTCAAGGCTTACGGAGCCCCTGCGGTAGCACAGCACAGCGTCGCACGCGGCTGGATGGATATTGTGCAGCTCGGATTCTCCGGTCAGCCTTCATCCCGCTCTTTGTCGAGCGACAGTAGTGTTTCATTTCCACATTCCACGCCATGCAACAAAGTGTGATCCAGGTTCGGGAGTCTGGGGTCCGTCCCGGTGCACCGACCCCGGCGAGGTGTTCAAGTGAGGGCCCAGTTCGGTCCCACCCCACAGCCGGGTGATCGCCTGCTCCCACTCCTACGATCCCCCGCCGATGTCCTAGCCCTGGGACCTCGAGTGGCTTTGGGTGTGCTCCAGTCGTTCCCGGAAGCACTGTCCCAGCTGTGAGTTGGGTTTGTTCCGAGGGGAACGACGTGTTCGGAAGCGGGGAGGCCAGCCCGTCCATGCATTGGGCACGACCTCCGTTCCACATTCCCATGCAGGCCCTTGGATCTTCAAAGACTGGGAAGCTTGGTCCAGGACCCCAGGCCCATCGACCAGAAGCAAGCGGAGGTCCTGGAGGTGGGGTGGGGGGGTGGGCGGGTGGGCTGGCTGCTTCGCTGTGCAGCTGGGAATGAGTCACCCTGTGCGCCCTCAGGGTTGTGTTAACAACGCTCGCTCAGGCCAATGTGCGGGGCTGAACCCCCCCAATAGTCCTCTCATCCTCCCATCCCCCACCCCCCCACACAAACTAACAACGCAGGTGGTGGAGACGCGAGTGGCAGACTACGTGGAGAAGGGCACCGCCCTGGAGGCCGGGCTGAAGGCCGGCGTAGCCTCCGTGCTGCCCCAGGGCATCAAGGACGCGATCCCGGCGACGCTGCGCGAGTCGCTGCTGGGGCGGGACACTGGCAGGGGGAGCGGCGATGCCCCCGCATCCCGCGCCGAGCCGGCGGCCGCGGAGAAGCCGCAGTCCTTTGCCAACAACCTGCTCCAGCGCCAGCAGCCGGCGCCGGCCACCGCGCCGAGCTCCAACGGCGCCTCTGCGCCGGGCCTGGCCACCTGGACCATCACCACCGACGAGGAGGACGGCGTGGCGCGTCCGCTGTCGCCTGGCGCGGATGTGAGCGGCGCCGGCGACGCGCCCCCCGCCATCCTCGCCGAGCTGGCGGAGGTGCTGCAGGGCGTCGGCGCCCTCAAGTCCACGCTGCTGGCGCTGCGCACCAATGGCGACCCCGCCCTCGGCACCATGTCGCGCCTGAACGTCCGGGAGGCGGAGGTGGGGCTCAGTGGGTGTCGCGCTGGGGAAGGGGGTGACTGCGCGGGGTGCAGGGTGCCGCAGTGGGCTAAATCTCCCGGAACTGGGGACGTGCTCCCACACTGCCTGCTCCATTGTGGAACAGGAGTGCTGGTGTCCCTGCGCCCTGGCTCTCAGAGGACGATCGGGCACACCTCTCCTTACCCCCAACCTCCGAGTACCTACGCTGCTGGCATTGACACATCCCGCCCCCCCCCCCCACTTCCTTGCTCAGGAGACGCTGCGGCGGCGGCTGCAGCAGCTGAGCGCGGTGCACGCCGTGAGCGCGGTGCCCGACCCGGAGGTCGCCGCTGCCATCCAGGAAGGCGAGGCCCTGCTGGCCGAGAGTGCGGCCCTGACGGATTGAGCGCCACGGTGCGTTTGTATGGTGGCGCAGTCACGCCCACTCTCCCTGACCTCTGCCTTTTTCGCTCTGGCAGCACCCACTCCTTCCCTGACAGCAAGGCTAGCTCTGTAACATGCGGTACATTTGGGGAGCCTCGAACAAGAAGCAGGTCACTGGTCTGGCGCACTCCCCCCTCCCTCCAGAATCAAACCCTTCCCACATCTAGGCCTGGCGCGGGTCTGCGGAGCTGTGCCAGACCCAGGTCATGCCATCCCAGCCGCAGGAGGCGAGGAGGCCCTCGGAGAGCGGGCTCCAGTCCAGCCCCACCGCGAACTCGGTGTGGTGATCCCAGACTCGCAGCGCGGCCTCCTCCGGCGCCGCAAAGTCCCACAGCCGCACCGTCATGTCGTAGGAGCAGGAGGCCAGCAGCGTCTCGGCGTGCGGGGAGAAGAGCACGCGGCGCACCGCGTAGCCGTGCCCCGCCAGCACGGCCACGGGGCGGGCGGGCGCGCGGACGTCCCACACCTTGACGCTCTTGTCCACCGACCCCGTGGCCAGCAGGCAGTCGTTGTACTTGCACCAGTCCGCGGTCAGCACCTCATGCTGGTGCGCGGAGAGGGAGAGCGTGGGCCGGGGCTGGCGCGTGTCGAACACCTTGACCGTGCAGTCGCCGGAGGCGGACAGGAAGATGTCGGCCTGCTGCGGATTCCTGGGTGTTGGTGTATCGGGGAGAAGGGGAGGGGGGTTGGGATGAGGTTGGGACAGGGGGTTCTGTCGATCACGCTGGAGAGGCGCTGTGACCGTTGGTGGCAGGCGGGGAGTGTGATGATGGAAATCAGGGGCCGGGGCAGGGCTGCAGGGTCCTGGAAGGCGACGCGACGGGGAAGGGAGACAACCTTGCAGCCCAGGAGCCAGTCGCCTCCGAGGCGCTCAGGCCATGCCCTGCCCTCCTGCCACCCCTCAAATCCCCTCACGCGGGCACGCACCATTGCGCGGCGTACACGCAGTAGCTGTGTTCCGCGAAGGTGCGTAGGGAGTGGGGGGACTCCAGGTTCCACAGCTTGATCGTGTCGTCCCAGGAGCCGCTGAGGAAGCAGTCTCGTCGCACCTGATTCCAATGCAAGCAGTACGCCTGGAGTTGGAGAAAAAGATGGGGCATGAGGAGAGAGTGTTGGCCAGGGATTATCGGGCAAAGATTCAGGCAGGCCCCTGCACAGATTCTCCCAGCCAACCTCCGGCCTCCCACCTCGTGCTTGTGCTCCTCGAAGCTGCGCAGGGGGTTGGCCTGGGGTGGGGCATTCACGTCCCAGACCTTGATGCTGCCGTCGCCAGACGCCGACAGCAGGATGTTCTCGTTTTCCTGATACTCAGAGGGAGGGAACACAACTTGGCACGGGCTTTCAATCCAACCCAGGCACCAGAAGTACCCTCTGGCTGTCATACACCCTCGCTGATCCATCGGCTCCATACCAAACCCCAATGGCCCACCTCGCTCCAGCAGCAATCGTACAGGCCGTCCACTGTGTCAAAGGTCCGGACCTCTTGCAGGCCCTGGGGCGTCATCTGCAGGCAGGTCGCGTGAAGGGGGCCCTGGGCTGCAGAGTAGCGCGCAAAGAGGGCAGAGACATGCCATGCAGCGCCTCCTCTCAAGCAGTATTCCAATCTGAGCAGCAAGCACCTGCAGGACGTACTGGCGCCCATTCCCAATGATCCCAAAGTTTTGGGAAGTGGCCACGGCCATCTTGGAGTCCTCAAAGGGCGAGAACCGGACGCCATAGCCTTGAAAGGCTGTCTTGAAGCCAGGCATCGCTGCGGTGCGGCGCAGTGGCTGCGCCTGTCCCCACTCCCGTGTCGGAGGGTTCGGTGCCGGTGCGCTCCAAGCAGGGTGGGACACCGCAGGCCGCTCCACGAGCCTTTCCAACACGAATACGATGGCCTCTTGTCAGAAGATTCGTTATCACATATATATACCTGTTGTGGGGTGTCCCCATAGGCGACCTGATGAGTATGCATCTCAATTCCATAAAGTTCCGATCTGGGGGTGTATGCCACGTCGTCCTCATCATCCAGCACGTGCTCCGCAGGCACTGGTCGTTTTTGCCTGCAACCGATCCTCACAACATGGTAACATAATAGAACAACTCGACATTTGGCATATACAGACGAGTCTGCACGGGACCGAGCGCTCCCGAGCCGGCGTTCCTCCCACGCGCCCTTCTCGTCTGCTGGCCTCGTCACCTGACCGTGACTTGGCTGCGCCATGGCCAGCCGCACGGCATGTTTTGGGTCGGCGCGACCCCTGACCACCCGGGTATGCCGTCGCAGCCTGGTCACCCGCGCGTCGGCGGGCTCGGCAAGGCCCCAGCGGAAGCGTCCAGAGTACATCCCCAACCGCATCGACGATCCCAACTACGTCCGCGTGTTTGACACCACCCTGCGCGATGGGGAGCAGTCTCCGGGCGCCACCCTGACCAGCAAGGAGAAGATGGAGATCGCCAAGCAGCTGCAGAAGCTGGGTGCGCCAGCTGGTTGTTTTGTGGAGGACCAGGGACACATTCATACCACGATGTTGACTGCTGGGAGGGACTCATTCATTTGCATGCTGTTGATTGCCGCCCACGCCGCCCACTGGATTCAGAGCATGGCTGGCGGGTCGGCTTGCCATGCGCATCGCCTGCTCCAGAACATGCATGCAGACCCTTGAACCCGCACCCCACCCCCCTGCGTGCAGGTGTGGACGTCATCGAGGCTGGCTTCCCCATCGCCTCGCCCGACGACTTCGAGGCCGTGCGCTCAATTGCCATGGAGGTGGGCAACAATGTGGACGCCGACGGCTACGTCCCGGCCATCTGCGGCCTGTCTCGGTCGCGGTGAGGGGGGGGGTGTGGCGGACTTGTGGGGTGAGGGCCTGGGGTAGGGTAAGGGGCAGCAAATGCTAGGGTGTACGGCAGGCAGTGCCCTCATGAACGTGCCGTGCTTGTGTTATCCAAGCTGTACAGGCCAGGAGCCATCTTTGGTGGAGCATGTTGCACAATGCTTGCCCCTCGTATGAGCCACTACCATTGCCCTCGTCCACATGCCAAGTGCAACGCCCTGCTCCTCCCCATCTCCCAATCACGCAGCGAGGCCGACCTGGAGCGGGCCTGGGATGCGGTGCGCCACGCCCGCCACCCGCGCGTCCACGTCTTCCTGGCCACCTCGCCCATCCACATGGAGCACAAGCTGCGCATGACCCCTGACCAGGTCATCCGCCAGGCGGTGGAGAGCGTCAAGCACCTCCGCTCCCTGGGCTGCAAGGACATCGAGTTCTCGCCGGAGGATGCCAGTGAGCCGCGGGTCAGGGAAGGGTGTGTCTGCGACGTGCACTCTTGTTGGGTGGGTGGGAATCTGCGGGGTTGTGCCTCAACCTGACCCTCCTGATTGCTTCTTAGTGAAGTGGCACCCAAGAGCATGCCATGCATCTTGTCCCTTCCACCATCAGCCCGCTTCCTCGGTCACAGCCCTCCAACCCCCCTCCATCACCCCCCAACCCCTCGCAGCCCGGTCCCACCCGACCTTCCTGTATGAGGTGCTGGCCGAGGTCATCAAGGCTGGGGCCACCACCCTGAACATCCCAGACACCACCGGCTGGAGCCTGCCCCATGAGTTCCAGGTGCTTCGGGTGGGGAGCATCCTTGCTGTACGAGAGGCAGCCTGCATGTTTTCGACTGTGGCACTAGGAGGAAGTGACTGTGAGCAAGCAGGACATGCACAGCGGCCCATTTCCAGTTTGTACCGGGCATCTGAACCCCGGCCCCGTTTCTGCCCACCCACACAACAAACCGTCCTACCTTGCCCTTACCAACTCATTCACATGCAGGGCCTGATCACGGACCTGCGCGCCAATGTGCACGGCGCCAACGACGTCATCTTCTCCACCCACTGCCAGAACGATCTGGGCCTCTCCACCGCCAACTCCCTTGCTGGTGGGTGCAGGGCGTTTTGAGTTGCTGTGCAGGGTTGTTCAAAGGTTGTGGGATTTATGGACGTGGGGATCGGTGGTGCGTTGCAAGGCTGTTGCCGCCCTTTGGGTTTTTGTGCATCTTTTGGGCCCACATGTAGTATGAGCTGATGCCTGGGCAACCACCCTGTCCGCCTGCTGCCTTACTCACCCCAATCCCTCATCAACCCGGCGCTCCCTCAGGTGCCATGGGCGGCGCGCGCCAGGTGGAGTGCACCATCAACGGCATCGGCGAGCGCGCCGGGAACGCCTCGCTGGAGGAGATCGTCATGGCCATCGCCCTGCGTGGGTGAGGCCGGGAGGCGGGACCGCCGCGGTCTCACGGCATGCCCGTGGGAACCTGAGATTGCTCACCAGTCACCAATCAGTTCACCACCGTCGTCCTCCCATCCTCAGACTCCCCATTCAGCTCTCCCCCATTCCCCTCCCTTCCACCCCGCAGCGAGCGCCAGCTGGGCGGCCTCTGGACCGGGATCAACCCGGTGCACATCGCGGTGACATCCAAGATGGTGTGCGACTACAGCGGCATGCCGGTGCAGCCGCACAAGGCGATCGTGGGCGCCAACGCCTTTGCGCACGAGTCCGGCATCCACCAGGACGGCATGCTGAAGTCGCGGGACACCTACGAGATCATGACCCCCGAGTCCATCGGCCTGGCCCGCGCCTCGGGCGTGGGCCTGGTGCTGGGCAAGCACAGCGGGCGCCACGCGCTGTCCACGCGCCTGGCGGAGCTGGGGTACGGCGACCTGCCGGCGGAGCGCGTGGCGGAGCTGTTCCGCCGCTTCAAGGACCTGGCGGACAAGAAGAAGGACATTGCCGACGAGGACCTGCTGGCCCTGGTGCAGGACGGCGTGCACCAGCCGGAGGCGGTGTGGGCGCTGGGTGATCTGCAGGTGGTCTGTGGCTCCATGGGCCTGCCCACCGCCACGGTCAAGCTGATCGGCCCCGACGGCCTGCCCCGCGTGGCGGCGGGCATGGGCACCGGGCCCGTGGACGCAGCCTACAAGGCCATCGACAGCCTGGTGCGAGTGCCCGCGCGCCTGGTGGACTACTCCATGAACGGCGTGACCGAGGGCATCGAGGCCCTGGCCGTGACCCGCGTCGTCATCCGCCCCGCGGGCGACCCCGCCGCCGCGGGCCAGCGCACCGACTGCCGCGGCGGGCAAACCACGCGCGCCTTCAGCGGCACGGGGGCGCACGAGGACGTGGTGGTCTCCTCTGCGCGCGCCTACATCTCCGCCCTCAACCGCATGATCCCCTACGTCTCGGCCCAGGCGGCCGCGGCCGCGGCGGACGCGGGGTCGCCCGCCGCCGCCGCCGCGCGGGCCGTGGCAGTCTGAGCCCATGGTTTCTTGCGGAGGGGGGAAGCAGTTTTGCGGCAGGATGCACAGGCGGTGTGCACTGCACACGAGACATCGAGCCACCCTCATGCTCTGCCTCTGTCTGCTGTAACTCGAGAGTAAGACATAGCAACACTGGACAGCCTTGTGGGGTACGAGCAGCTCCTGGCCGGCTCCCACTCAAGTACACGCGGATGTTGCACCAGGGCTGGATGCTCCCTGGGGGTGAAATTAGTCATTCAGAGCAGCACTGCAGGCGCACACCTGAGGTCGTCAAGCCGGCGGGATGGGAGCAGCTGGCAGGCACCAGTGTAGGGGGCTGGGGGCAGAGGCAAGGCTGGGACTTGATCCAGCAGGTCCATCGAAGGCCCGCATGCGTGCAAGCACGGGTGCATTTGGAGCCCAGGGAAAGGCACCTCACTACAGATCCAGGCCTGACCCTTGCCTTCACCCAGCAAAGCCGCAGGGGAGCGACACCAGCAGCAAAGGCAGCATCCAGGAGGGTCCTCATCGCGCTGGCGCAGGGTGCTGCTGGCCATCCACCCCAAACTTCTCTTGCATCTTGCGCAGCGACTCCTCCTGCTCCTTCAGGCTGGCCTTTGCCTTCATCTTGGCCGGGTTGTAGTACAGCACGATGAGATACCGATTCTGTGTTGGATGGTCAGGGAAATGTCTGTGAGAGGGCAGAAGAGTGACGCCAAACTCCCTCCTGGAGCATGCAGCCCTGTACGCCAACACACTCCCATAAGCGCAGGCCGTGAAATGAGGCCACAGACTCCCCACTCCCATCTCATTGCCTCTGTGCCCAGCACACCTGGACGTTGAAGCCCGAGAGGTGGTCCACCGCGTTCTTTGCATCAAAGATGTCCTCATACACAACATACGCCGTGCCCCGAGTCTCCTTGGTGCTGCCGACACGGATCTGACGGATGGCGCCGTACTTGCCAAAGATTTCGTACATCGTGGGGGGGGTGGGAGGGCGCCGGCTCGGGGGATGGTGGGTGTCTGGGTGGATGAGCGACTGGAATGCATGCAGGGCCAAATGGGACCTTCAGGCAGACCCCCCTCCTCACCTCCTCCGCCGAGATGTTGAACGGCAGGTTGCGCACATACAAAGCCCTGAGGTGGAAAAGTGTATTGATTGGGTTCTTTTATGCTACTTCCACACGCCGACGAGAGCCTCTGTCTAGGCCAACGAGCCCTGACAAAGATAGGGACCAACCAATCCTCACCTATTCACTTCGGGGGGAAGTCTCCGAGTCTGAAGCTTTAGCGTCGCGGCCATCCTGGCCTAGTTTAGAAGAATAGCCCACAGTTAGAAAGGTGTTGAGGTCGCTCCGTGTGTCCGAACTGCAAATCACCCTCTTTCCTCAGAGGAGTGATGGGTGTCCGACAACGCTTGGTACCAGGGACTCGCTCTTACTTGGAAATATACCTCGAAATAGAGCTACGTCCAGCAACAGCTCACAGCCAGCTTGGAGCGGAATTGCCGAAAAATGGTTTCGATGGGTGATTGTGCGTTTTGCAGGGAGGGCGCGCAATCGGGGAGTCCCCCTCCGCATGAATTGTCGTCATCTGTCGAAAGAGAGGCACCGGTCCTCGTCTCGACATCAGCTTCGGTATCGTAGGTGAATAAGGAGTACTAGAAACAATCAAGTCTGGCGAAAGATGCGGATTTTCTCCTGTCGCGGTCTTTCGGACCCTCTGTCGCCCGCGTGACAACGGCCCAGCTGTTGCAAGGGCACGCAAACTGCGGCGTTGCTGCCTGCGTTTAGGTGCTCAGCCCTCCGCTCCAAAAGGTGTATGCCATGTCAAACAACGACCCGGCTACATACCAAGCGCTTGGGCAAGCACCCTCATGTGCTTGCAGGCCTTGCCCAGGCATAGGAACCCAGAGGTGAGGGAGACCCCTCATCTGAAGGGAAGGCATGGAATAACGAGTTCGTGGCTGTCATCACGGCAACGGGCTGTGCACTCCACTCTCGCCACCCTCTGCCTCCTCCAACAGGCAGAAGCAAGCCCTCGCCTTCTGGTTTGCAGCCTTTGGGACGAGCGCACTGATCTTCCTGCAGACGTGGTCCACGGAGCGCCACCCCCACACCATCGACTTCGGGTCCGGCCTGTCTCGCGCGCACTATGAGATGCTGGGTGGCCTGGATGACATCAGTCTGCCAGCCCAGGAGGCACAGCAGCGGGCGGCTGCCGCTTTTGACTCTGCAGTAGCCAGGGAGGTGGCCGCGCCCACTCTTACCAACTACACGTGAGCCGTGGAATTCATCGAGGCGGGGCGCATGTTTGCTGCAGCAGCCCACCCCTTTCAATATCTCATGAATGGTCGCTCTCTGGTCCAGGCTTCAGATGCTGCCGTCCCTTGGCTTGTGCTGCTCCTCGTTTTGGGAGCTCCGTCCTGACGACCCCCGAGATCGCATAATCTCCATCCCCAAGTCCCCAACCCTCACTTGTCTCAGGATCTGGCTGTACTCTGTGGTGGCAGCAGACCACGAGGGCGCTGCAATTCTGCCACACTGGATTCGGCACTACGTGGGGCTGGGCATCCCCGCGGACAAGATCTTCCTCCTGGTCCACCACAATCCCATGAAGTGGGTGCTGGCCCTGTCGGGGTTGTGGAGGTGTTGGCAGGACTCTGTGCATCTGTGCCTGGACAAGGCACGCAGGAGACCGGGACCAGCTGCGATGGCTGCTGGGTCCCTGACACTCACCGCCTCCTCACTGCGTACCCCTTTTCAGGCATGGCCTGCAAGGACTGAATGATTCCCTGACTGTGCTCAGGGAGTTCAACATAAACTACAGGTAGCACCTGGGCTTTGGTTGAGCATGGCGGCTTACCTTTTTAGAAATGAGTTGCCTTATTCTTTGCGTGCATGCTGCGCTATGTGTCATGCCACGAGGTGAAGTTGACTCCTCCTCTGCCCCCCCAATACCAGGGTGTGGCTGGGTCCCTACAGCGGCGCCCATGAGATGCGGCAAAAACTCATCCTGCTGAATGGGCTGGTCACCAGCCTGGACGACTGGATTGTGGTGGCCAACTCGGGTGAGCCTGCAGTGGGGAAGAGGGCAACCAGCCGCACCCTTGCATCATACTGGGACTCTTGTAGCAGCCGCACGGCCGCCTGTGTCCTACACCTCCACAGGGCCCTTGCAGCGGCAGTACGACTCTTGTCCGCGCAAAAGCTTTCTCATCAACGGTCCCCCCACCCCGCCCTACCCCTGCCTCCCGCTGTACCATGATCTGCCCTACAGATGAGTTCCAGAGCTATGGAGAATATAGCATACCCCAGCACCTGGCCGCTGCCGACGCAGTGGGGGCCACCTACGTCTGGGGCATCCTCAGGGACAGGTGAGCCTGCAGGCGAAGGAAGGTGCCCTGGTCCTCTTTGGTGCCTTGTTGGGGATGCCTTGGGCCCAATTCGGCACCTGCCACAGTGCAATGTATCCCAGCGAGCGCCAGATTCCATTTCTGCGAGGGATGGGAATGAGGCTGTGTCAGCTCTGGAAGCTCCTGACACCTGCTGATGAGCTCCCCTCCATTCCCCTTTGCCCTCCCAGGCTTTCTTATGACGGCACGCTGCAGCCCCTGCGCAGCGACGTGCCCATCCACGAGCAGTATCCCTGGGACTGTGCGGTGGTAGGCGCTGCCAGCACCGGCCCCACCCGGAAGGTGGCTGCCTACAAAGCCTTCCTCCGTACAGACCAGGTGGGGTTGGTTGCGGTGCATCGGGGGCGCCTGCGTGCGGGGCGGCGGCGACGCGGCAGCACGGGGATTCCGAGCTCAGCAGCGGCCACCGGTGCACCCGAGCCGCTCGAGCGCCCAGGCCCCCTGCCACGTCAGCAACTGCCACCCCCATCGCGTGCAGGAGGACCGCAGCGTGATCAGCCCCCACGAGGCCCCGCTGTACTACGGCGCCGGCGGGCTGGCCAAGGATGGCTGGCAGGAGGACGGCGAGGACGACGGGGACCTGTACCACCTCACGCCCTACTCCCAGTACCCCCACCGGTGAGGGAGGGCTCAGAGAGTTGGCGGGGCCGGCAGCGGGAATCAGCACGCTTCTGCGCTGGTCCAGAGAAATGAAGGGGGTTGGGCAGTGTCCTTACTTTCTTTTGCCTCCAGGCGCATCCTGCTACCACGTGTGGAACTGCCTCAGCCCCATCAGACTCAACCTATATTCCCTGCCACACAATCATCCAGGTACGTCACCCAGGAAAATGCGCTGGTGCCCAAGTGGGGGGTCACTGCGGCGCCTGCCAACGTCCTCACCTTCCACTTCAAGTGGCTCGCCTCTGCGGTGCAGAAGCTGAGGGACCGGCTGGCGCACCACCGCGGTAAGGGTTGGTGTTCTGCCTCGTACATGTTTGGTGGAAGGTGAATAGCCAGCAGGTGTACTGACAACAGTAAGGGAGGAACGAGGGCTTGGGGATGAACTCCTGGGGAGTGGACACTTTCTGCCAGGCCAGCCAGCACGCAGCCCACCCTGGACCGCCACCCCACACCTCCTCACTCTGCAGGCAGCAGTGTGCGGGGCCTGCTAGCGCGCGCCTCGCAGTATCGGGAGACGAAGCGGGTGCTGGCGGCGCTGGATGCGGGGTCGGTGCCGCGCCTGGACGTGAGGGCCTTTGCCTGCCGATGGGGGTCGCAGCGTCCCGCGCCCCGCGCCCGGCTGGCGCTGACGCAGCGCGAGGCTGGCGGCACGCTGGTGGGCGGCCTGCAGGCGGTGCCCGAGGCGGACGAGGTGGGGGAGGAGGAGGGGGCCCGCCACCTCCGGTACTTGGAAGCCCGGCGGTGACAGCGCTGGATTACTTGGACTCGCAGTCGGCTCATTGTGTGTCCAGAGAGCTGGCCCTTGTCACAATCGTCCCCCTGACGACGTCAGCTTGTAGTAGTGATGGGCATGGCAACCAGACGGGTAGTGGGCAGTCAGGCAGGCCAGGTGCAATGGGGAACCGGCTGCAGAGGACGCGCTGTCAGGGCGCAGGAAGCAGTCGAGCGCCTTGGTCAGGAGCCCCTGGCACCGCGGGAGGGGGTCCGCTTCCCCCTGCTCACGCTCCGCCCCCCCTCATCCACCCCGGCGAGGCCCAACATGGCCGCCACCTTGGCGTTCCCGGTCAGCGGCGCCAGGCTGGCGCTGCCGCCCAGGCGCGGCGCAAGGGGGTCCACCCCGTCCTCGTCCAGGTCGGGGTCGCCGGGGTCGTACCCGCCGCGCCCCGCCACCACGTCCCGGCTCTGGCCGGGGCGAACCGTGCCGGAGATGACCACGTAGGGCTGCGCCTCCCGGCGCTGAACCTGCTTCATCTGCTCCAGGGCGCCGGACTCCACCGCGCCCGAGGCCGCGCGCTTGCGGGCCATCTCCTCCTCCACCTTCCGCCGCTTCTTCTCCTTGGAGTTCTGGGACGGGAAGATGCCGTGGAACCTGTGTGTGTGTGTGTGTGTGTGTATGTGTGTGTGTTTAGGGGGGGATCAGAAGTTGGCGCTGAGATTCGCCCTCCCAGGCAGTCGAGGAGTGGTGGAGGAGCGGGCGACTATCATTCCAGCCCGGCAAGGGGAAGGCCGGAATGAGGAACATGCCTCCCCTTGCACACGAGTATAACCAACACCCCCCTCCGGCCCACTTGTGGCACTGCTGGCGGAAGAGCTCCTTGGGGGTGAGGATGCGGCCATACTCGTCCTTCCTCGTAAGCGCTACCTCCACGCTCAGCGCCTGCCGGTCCTCGGTACGGCCGCCAGAGTACACCTCATCTAGGCCTTGGATCTGTGTGTTGGGTAGAGGGTGAGGGGGGAGGGGGTGGAGGAAGACATGGCGGTGCCAAACCTGCAACACCAGAGCCAGGGGACCAATTACAGGTCTGCTCAATATCTGAAGAGGTGCTGCATATCAAGAGTGAACTGCAATAATAAACCAATCCAAATCCCACCCCCCTTGGCCACTCACGTTGACCTTTTTGGAGTCGTTCGTCCGCCCAGACCACTCCACGGCAGTGTCCAGATCGCCGCGGGACTGGAGGAAAGCGAGAGCGCCCGCCATGCCGGCGCCGATGGCTCGGTCGCCGACGACTTCGTCCCGCTGCAGGGTCACCTTCTCCTTGCCCGTCTCCACCTTGGGCGCTGCAAGGGAGAAGGTAAGATGGGAGGGTTGAAGACAAGGGACATGCAGCTGGGGCTCGTGATCAGGTCCTGAGAGCATTCAGGCGAGCACGCGCCCTCCAGAAGTAGTGCTGGCCGCCACATGTTGGCAGAGCGTCAACAGCTGATGCCAGCACCCGGCACCAGGTGCCGCACAGACTCGTAGGAATCAAGCCACGGCAGCCTCCGACCCCTGGATGTCTGCATCCTCCGCTGCTCCCAGCCAACAAAATCCACACTCCTGCTCCCCACAGGATCGAGCAAACTCACCCGGCGGCCGAATCTTGGCCTTGATCCTCTCCTTGATGGCGTCCTCTGCCGACCCACCCTCGCTCACAGGGGCCCACCGGCCAAATCCCGACTCCCGCGGCTCGTCGATCGCCTGTGACTGGCCGTCCATGGGCTCTGCCTCGCCCGCCTCGGCCTCCCCGCTCGGCGGCAGGGGCGGCGGCTGCTCCGTGGGCATCGGCGCTTCATCTACCTCCATGCGCTCGAGGGCCCCACTGGGGGCCGCGCCCTGGCCGGCCGACCCCTCTGCGGGCTCGCCGGGGGCCACCTGGATGGCGCGCGTGATTTCCCCGATCCCGGTGAACACCAGCCCCTGATCGGCGGCATCACCTGAGGGCCCCTCGCCCTCCGCGGCGGCCGGGCGCCTGGAGCGCCGCTGCCGAAGCTGATCTGCCAGCGAATCCGGGTCTGCCCCCGCCGTGCCCCCCTCCTTCAGCGCACGCAGCCGCTCCCTGCGCAGGCGTGCATCGAAGTGGTGGGATCAAGAATCAGGATGTTGATCGAGTCTCTGGCAAGCGGATGCCCCCAGACACCAATCCTGGCCCAAAACGGCTTGACACACCGGCCCACCACACACCTCTGCAGGGAGGCAGCCAGCACCGCATCATCGTCGTCGTCGTCAAAGTCTGCGGTGGAGGGCTGCGCGTCTGCATTCCGCAGAGCCAGGGACGCATAATTGACCTGGTTCAGCGCTGCCTGGAACCTGTGGGAAAGAAACCGGGGTTCCGACCAGAGTCGAATGAGAATCAAGTGGGGATGCATTGCGGGGGCCTTGTGGGTGCATAGCCACCGGAAGGCAGAAATGAACTAGCAGGCGGATGGAGGAGACCATCACCTTGCAGACCCAACTGCGTGCATGAGCCAACGAGGGCCCCAGCCACTCACCTCTCGCGCCGCTCCTTCTCGACCTCGCCCGCCGCGGCGGCCTTGGCCGCGGCGCGCGCCTCCCGAGAGGCACGGGAGCCCAGGTCCTCGCCCACGGCAGCCGCCGCCGTGCTTTCCGCCAGCGCCTCCAGCTCCTCGGCAGTCAGGGCCTTCTTCTTCAGCTTCCTCACCTTCTTCGTCTTCTTGGGCTTGAACTGCAGGCGAGAAGGTTTTTTGGGGGGGGGTAGGAGTCGCATGAGAAATCGCAGGTCAAAAAGGCGCCAGGCATGAGCGCCTGCGCAGGACCACCATGCAGGACCCTGTGCTCAAGCCCGCACCGCATGGGCTGGATGATCATCCCTCCTCTCTCACTCTGCGCACTGAAGTCCGACATCATACCAATCTCTGCCATTCCCCATGTCACCAGCCTCTGCCAGCCTCTTCCTAGACCACATCCATTCCCACTCCTCCACACGACTGCCATCAACACGCACCTGCTCCATCTCTTCCGGCGTGTAGTAGTCGGACGCTGGCTTGACCTGTTCCAGCAAAGCCAGCCCTGCCTTCAACCGCGCATTCACGTCCCCCTGGAGCTGCTGCTTCTGCGTGGCCACGACGCTGCCGTCACCCCCCAGCTGCAGTTTTGGGGTGGTGGTCCAGGTGAGGAAGGGGAGGAGCAGGATGCTGGAGAAGTGTGAAATTGTCACAAGCAGCAGTTCTGTGGGCAACGAGGATGGCATGCATGGCCCACCCAGCCCAGTCTTGAGTCCGCCACCGTCCACGGACCCCGGCCTCACCTGAATGACCTGCTCCTCCTCCTCGTCATACTTGTCCAGCAGGGTGCGCTGCCGCCCATCCTCCTCCCACAGAGGCTTGGCCACCTTTCCAGAGTCGCGATACGCCTTTTCCCGCTGCTTGATTTCTCTCTGTGTGGAAGCAGGAGTGGAGTGGGGGCTCACTGATTGTACGAACAACACATGGCCGCACAAGTCTTGGCACTGTGAGAGCTACATGGCAGGGCACAAGAGCTCCTGGGTGGTCAAGCCTCCCGTTCCATGGTTGTCGAAATGGGACCCAGTCAAATGGAGACTGAAACATGTCCCCGAGTGATATACCCCTCACCCAGACACCAACTCACCACCAATATATTCTCCAGCGCTGCCTCCTCGTCGTCGATCAGGTTGCCCTTGTCGTCCAGAATGCCTCGATCCTCCAGGGTCAGGATGACCGACTCCCCTGCCTCCAGATCATCCACCGAGTGCTTCACCTGAGCAATTAGGTGTGGGAGGAGCAAAGCTTTTAACATGGCCAGTGACACACAAACCATCGTTGATTCTTCACACCCTGACGCTTGAAAGAGCAACAAATCTCATCCGGTGAGTGCCTGCCTCACCCTTGCCACCCACCTTGAACCCGGCCAGGTCTGCGCCAGTGTGGCTTGCCGCTGCATCCTCCTGCGGTGACAAGGGTGAGTGGCGCGACTGTGTATACATGCAACTGCAAAGGCCATGCTGCCGCCACAGAGGATCCCTTGAAACCATTTCCTGATTGCCACGGCCACCTGCCCCCAAGTCATCCCAGCGCCTACCTCCTCATCCTCGTCAGAGTCATTCATTGCTCGGATGGGCTTTGCAGCCGCCTGTTTCCTCTTCCTTTCAGCCTCCACCCTGCAAATAGGCGAGAAGTCAGTTTCAACTTGTATGCCTGGGTGAGATGACAAGCTAATACAAACAATGAACACAATCTCACATGAAAGACCTACCTGCGAGACCGCTCGATCCACTGGAGGGTGTCATTGTCGATATCATCTCCAGTCTCTCCCAGCTTCTTGGTGGATTTCAGGAGCTCCTCCTGCCGCCGCTTCTCCTTGGCTCTGCCAGTGGTGAGTGGGGCAAGGAAGAATAAGAGTCGAACACATTGCGCAGTCATGCATCTTGCGACCGCTTTGTCATCGGGTAAACACGCCAAAAACCGACCCCAACACATACTGTGCTAGCCGTGCGACCAAGGCCTTGCTGGCCTCGGCATCCTCTGCAGCCTTACGGCGCTCCTGCCCAGCCTCCAGCTCCTTGAGGGCGGAGGGCTGGGTGGTCGTGGAGAGAGGCTTCAGGCCCAGAGAAATGCGCAGCCTGTGGGAGTGGCATGGAGGGCAGGCGGTCGTCAGAAGGCCACTGCCGATGTTGCCCCTGGAGCAAGGTCAAAGTCAGTTCTACAAGCGCTGCCACACAATGCTCAGGGCATACCTGTTGGTCTCTTCTGTGGACATGGAAATCTCGCCTCCACCGCCATCGTTGGCGGACGTCTCGCGGTCGCCCATGATGCTGACAACAGCCTTCAGGGTATTGGAAGATTTGACACTATTCCTTAAATTTCTGACGTAAGGTCTCAGCTTCCACTTGCGCAAAAGGGTGTCTCGACAGGGTGTTTCCTGTGAGGAACCGATCCACAGGGCCCGGTGCAAAAGCAGGGTGTCAAGCTCGCGTCCCTCCTAGGTCGGCATGCAAGCGATATCGATAGACTGTCATGGGCTGCCTGCATCCAGTGTCTCAGCTGTGCTGTGGCGACGCAGGGCGATGAGCTTTGGCTCGGGACATTTCCGGACAACCCCGCCATTTCTTCCTGGGCGCCATGCAAAGGCCGATCGCCCACCCCCGCAGACGGGCAACATTGTAGAGTCCAGCAGCAGGTTTCGATACATTTCGATCGAAGGGTCTTACACAACAACCAGGACGAGGCGTCGGTGGTGTGTCGAGCATCCGCGCCGCAGGACCCCCCAGGCAGCTGCAGACTAGGGGGAGGCTTCACGAGGCATCATGCCGCCCAAGAAGAAGGATAAAGACGCCGGCAGCGAGCAGACGCTGACGCGAATTGCCATTGTCAGCTCCGACAAGTAAGGATATTGCGATGTGATGCAAATAGGTGTAACACGCAGGTGGTGATGCCCGCCGTCCTTTCAACAGCTCGCCATCCTCCACGCAGGTGCAAGCCCAAGAAATGCCGTCAGGAGTGCAAGAAGAGCTGTCCAGTTGTCAAAGTTGGTGAGCTGGGGCTTCGGAACTGGCCGACACCTAGCGGCAGACCATGGGCACTAGATATGGCATAAGTGTGCCCTACATTTATTGAATGGCAACGCTCCCTAGAGCTCTTTTCGCCGTGCGTTCAAAGTTGCTCACCCCTCCCTCTGAAATCCCTCAGGCAAGCTCTGTGTTGAGGTGGTCCCCACCAGCAAGATTGCCTGGATCTCTGAGGAGCTGTGCATCGGCTGCGGCATCTGCGTCAAGGTCGGGATGTGTTTGTCGAGCAGGGAGGGTGGGCAGCAAGCATAATGTGCGTTTGCTATGTTTGAAAAATGGGGAAAACAATCCCAGCCTCTCCATCATCCAAATCCCATCACCACCGTCACTCTCCCAACGACTCCAGAAATGCCCCTTCGATGCCATTATGATCATCAATCTGCCCAAGGACCTGGAGAAGGAGACCACGCATCGGTATGGCGCAAACACCTTCAAGCTGCACAGGTCTGTATTCCAGGGTCTCTGTGGCCTTTGCCTTTTGAACACTGGGCGTGCAGGCATGGCGAGCCTCTGCCTGGGGTAGCATTGCAGAGCCAATGTCAAGCTGTACAATCCTGCTCGAGCCGGTCTCTGCCTTGGTGCCAACACAACAAGAAGAGAGGCACAGTTGTGATTCTCAATGCTCACTCCACGCAGGCTTCCGGTGCCGCGCCCAGGCCAGGTTTTGGGCCTGGTGGGTTCCAACGGGACGGGCAAGTCCACGGCGCTGAAGATCTTGGCAGGGAAGCTGAAGCCCAACCTTGGCAAGTTCAACGTGAGTTTTCAAGAGGGGTGGTGTTTCTGGGCCTGCTGCGGATGCGTGTATGGTGCTCGCAAGAATGGTGGCCGCGACTGGCGCAGGGGTCCACCTTCCTTCCTGCGCTGTGTGGTTGCGATGTACTCAGACATGTCGCTGTGCTGTTTACATCAATGCATGCCGTTTTGAGCACATTTGGATCCCCCCCCCCCCGCCTCCCATTCACCTCTCCCATTCCCCGCCGCATGCAGTCGCCCCCCGACTGGGCAGACATCCTGACCCACTTCCGCGGCTCCGAGCTCCAAAACTATTTCACTCGTATCCTTGAGGACGATGTGAAGGCGATCATCAAGCCCCAGTATGTGGACCACATCCCCAAGGCGAGGCAGGGGGCTGGGCAGTGGAGCCGCTTGCATCTGGCAGTGCTGAAGGTGCTGATTGGACGACAAGAGTCTCAGCTTCTCAATCCCATGTCCCTACCACCAAAATTCGCAGGCCGTGCGCGGCAACGTCGGCGTCGTGCTGGAGGAAAAGGACCAGAGGGGCCAGAAGGAGGCCCTCCTCCGCGACCTCGACCTCGAACAGGTGCGACAGTCTGCGTGCGCCTGGCTTTGATCGCAGGGCAGCAGGCTGGGGGGTGGGCCTGGATGCTCCGCAGCAAGTCCTGCGACCACAGGCTCGGGGCGCCACAGTGGCTCGGGCAACATCACGGACACAGCATTCCATCTGAGCCTCTCATCTGGTCTTGTCAAATAACATGCCACTCCTCATCCAACAACCAACAAACCAGGTGACGGACCGCAACGTGGAGAACCTGTCTGGCGGCGAGCTGCAGCGCTTTGCGATTGCGGTGGTGGCTTTGCAGGAGGCGGGCGTGTACATGATCGACGAGCCCTCCTCCTACCTGGACGTGCGGCAGCGGCTGAAGGCCGCAGAGGTCATCCGTGGCCTCCTGGCCTCCGACAAGTATGTCATCGTGGTGGAGCACGACCTGAGCGTGCTGGACTACCTCTCCGACTTCATTTGCTGCCTGTATGGCAAGCCCGGCGCCTACGGCGTGGTCACGCTCCCCTTCTCCGTGCGAGAGGGAATCAACATCTTCCTGGGTGGGTTTGTTCCCACCGAGAACCTGCGCTTCCGGGAGGAGAGCCTCAGCTTCAAGGTCTCCGACACCACCGTGGATGGGGACGAGGGCGCCAAGCGCTTCCTGTCCTACAAGTACCCCGCCATGACCAAGACGCAGGGCAACTTCAAGCTCCATGTGGGTTCCGCTTGGAGGGCTGTGTGGTGTGGTGTGGTGGTGGTGGGTGTTAAACAAGGGTTTACATCAGGGGAAGGGGATGATGAGGACAACAAGGGCCTTGAGGCATCCATGTGCTGTCATGCCTTTGACAGGGGTTTTCCTCCCCGGTGCTCTCTTGCATGACACCAATGGTGCATGGGAAACAGGAGAAGGCTGCTTTGTGCGAGTGAGGTGGAGGAGGCAGGGAAGCCCCTGCACGGCATGAGCCACCTCAGCATCCCCACCCCTCCTGGCTTGATCATAGGTTGAGGCTGGGGAGTTCACCGACTCCGAGATCATTGTTATGCTGGGGGAGAACGGGACGGGGAAGACCACCTTCATCCGGATGCTGGCCGGCATGCTCAAGCCCGGTGTGCGGGGGTGATGTGGAGAGGCTCCATGTGTGTGTGCGTGTACAGAGGCTGCTGTGGCGGGCTGGGTGCGGCCCTGCCACCTGAATTCCTGCCGTCGCATGATCGACCTGTGACAGTATCACGCCCCGTATCTCGCAGATTTGGATCTGGATGTGGAGCTCGATGAGTTTGCGGTGTCGTACAAGCCGCAGAAGATCAGCCCCAAGTTCCCTGGGACGGTGGGTGTGGTTGCGAGGGAGTGAAACAGGCGGGGGAGCGAAACAGGCGGGGAAACATCGCATTCCCTGGCCGTTCCCGGCCTGCATGAGGGGCCCTTCAAGCAGCCCTGCGCGTGAGCCCCTTCCCTCATCCCTGCACGCTTTCCCCCCCTTCCGACACTCATTCCCCTGACCCCCTGGCAGGTGCGGGAGCTGCTGCACAAGCGCATCCGGGAGACGTACATGCACCCCTCCTTCCAGGCGGACGTCATCAAGCCGCTGCAGATCGAGGGCCTGTTTGACAACGAGGTGCAGACGCTGTCTGGCGGCGAGCTGCAGCGCGTGGCCATCACCATGTGCCTCGGCCAGCCCGCCAATGTGTACCTGATTGACGAGCCCTCCGCCTACCTGGACTCCGAGCAGCGCATCATCGCCGCCAAGGTCATCAAGAGGTGCGCAGTGATGGAGGGACCGAGGACATGGAGGTTTGGCGGGGCGGGCTCCCTGCCGGCGCGCGCATCACACACTGTGCTGCCGCTGACATGGCACCGAGGCCTTGTTTGTGGTCATGCTCTCCCGGTTTGC